GCCGCCTGCGAGCTTCAGTGTAAATATTGCGTCAAAATCAAATCAATTTGAGTGCGATTTAAACCCGGACTATTTAAACCCGGATGATGTCTGCCTTGGGAAAGCTAGCGTGTCTCCGACATAGTGATAACACTCTTTGCCTTATCTAGTGCAGCTCAACCAGGTCTCGTCCCATTCGTCGATATCAGCAACTCAAACAGCAACATTACAGACTAACTAAAGTTGAATAAGTGAAAAAGCATAATAGGACCCCTTTAATACACGCAACAATGAGCGCACTTAGTCCAGCAGACGGCATTAGGTGTGTTCGACTTAAAGCAGCGCTGAGCAGACAGATTGGTGAATGGGTGCTTTGTTGTCATACACTGATCGGTATAATGAATTGCACTGGGCCTTGTTCATTGGTAGTTGTGTGTGTGGGGGACGTGAAATTCTGTAAACTGCGAAAATTAAGTCTCAAAATCCAAATTAACCGAACAAGATCGACTCGAACTAGACGTCAATTAATGCACGCATGTCACCTGATCCACATATGCATGGATTCCTTTTTGCATGAGCAATTTATCATATATAAATGCAGAACAGAAAATGTTTATTCGCAAACATGTCTGTATTTGTACAAATCGCTGCACAATCATTTAATCCAAAATGAAAGGTATTTGTTTTTGGTTAGTAAGATACATGTATAAAATGTATGCAGTACATGGATAATTGTGCGTGCATCTATTAATCATTTTGAGTCTAATTTCATCCCATAAGATCTCACCTGCCATGCAGTCTGACAAATAACAATCGTACAGGACAGAGTGTAAAAGAGTGCAGTATACACTTGGCTTTGGCAGCAAAGCGTCGTCAAACCACAAAAAAGGAGTGATTGTGACCAGTCAAATAAATTATGGCTTAAGACTTGGTTTTAGAAACCAAATTTTCTCATTGTGCTTTAATTCTGCCAGGTTCATAATGAACAAGTGTGTATTATTATTGACTTTTCCTCATATCAGAGTAGTATAATGCCTAATTTGTGCCTCTGCCTCCTCCCATCAGCGCTAATGTTTGCCCTTATTGCAGACGGAGCAGGTAGGATGCCTGCCTTCAGTGTTTTAAACAATCCCATCCTTCATTCTGTTTGATCCATACGTTTTATATAACGAGCATGTGACTGAAGCATTTGCCAACCTGGTGGAGTGTGTATGTCACTACCAGTGATAACTCTTTATTCAGTGGTTTAGCTTATGATATGACGGTGCAGTAATTTTAATTTGAACTCTCAGCTGCTGGCAAGTGAAGAGGTTGCATTTTGAACTGTTAAGTGTCAAGTCTGGCAGTGGTTGTGTTTCAAGACTGTAGAATCTGGCTTGAGTGTGTGTCTGGCACCAATATGACATTGAAGTGCTACATTACACGCCATCCTGCTGGAGAAAAAAAAAAGCCTGTTTAAACCAGCCTAAGATGCAGAGTTTAGTTAGTTAGTTTAAGCTGATTTAGTTTGTTGGCCAACTGCCTTGCCAGTCTAACCAGCTGCCAAAACAACTCAAACTAGACTAGCTTGGTGACCAGCAACCCACTATAAGCTGTTTATACTGTTTTTCCCTACAGGAAAGCAGTTAAATTTAGTTTTTTGCTCTACTCTGGTGCATTTGATGAGGATCTCCTAACTCGTTGCGGCTTTTCCCTTCGCTTTAATCAAACTGCAAAGAGGTTTAACTGAATCCTCAGATCCATAGCCACACTTAAAGATTTTATTAATACCTCATGGTCACATTTCCAGCTTCGGGAGATTATGTTAAATATATTCCTAAATGTAATTACTTGTAAGTGACTTACAAGTCACACTCATGTTTTGGTAAAATCTTGATCAAATTTACTGTTACCTTTAGGACCCCTCACAATGAATGAGACCTTTCAAGTAACATCACAGTAGCCTTTCAGGACAGTTTGTCTGCAGAATTAAAACCATTCAGCATTAAAATTCTGCATCCCATTCCTTCAACATGAGTCAAGGATATAAATGACAAAAGCTTTCTTACACATAAGCCTGGCACTTTAGCACAAGCAAGCTGTCGCAGATGAAAGGCAAATATCAGTATGTGTTCAGTGTTTGCTTACAGAGAGACAGGTTTCATATCCCAGCTGTCAAGTATGGACCACTTTATATGAATTTCATATTTGTGATGTAAATATTAAAAAATGTACATTTTTGTAAGTTTTGTAAATTTATTTTGTTTTGAACTTAAGTAGTTATTAAAGGTGGGGTAAGCGATTTTTAAAAAACGCTTTAGAAAACTAACTAGCAAAACAAACTTGTAGCCAATCAGCAGTAAGGGGCGTGTCTACTCATGATGTGGAGGAGAGAGCGGTCAGTGCACAGGATGGACATTAGCGAGCCGAGCGACAGAAAGATAGAGATGGCGGATAAAAAACAAAAGAGGAAAACGTCTGCGGAACAAAAGAAGGTTTACGGCAATAAGGCAAGAAGTAGAACCAGAGTAAATATCGGATCAGCTTTCCAGCGCTGGAGAGAACTCAAGGAGCGGAAGGCCTGCGATCGGACGCCGAGGTTGCTTTGTTTCTTCTCAATAGGTGAGTAACACCGTGTCTACAACAGCTAAAGTCTGCCTACACTGGTATGGTCTACATGTGGCGTGGCGCGGCACGACACGACAAATCCCCGACAGAAAACTGCTACTGCGTTATATTCATGACGTATTGATACAAATTTCAAATGATTTTCAACGGTCGCTTTGTCGCGTCCAGTGTACTAGACAGACTTTAGCTGTTGCGGCGCAGACACGGTGTTTTACTCACCTATCGAGAAGAAACAAAGCAACCTCGGCGTCCGATCGCAGGCCTTCCGCTCCTTGAGTTCTCTCCAGCGCTGGAAAGCTAATCCGATATTTACACGGGTCCTACTTCTTGCCTTATTGCCTTAAGCCTTCTTTTGTTCCGCAGACGTTTTCCTCTTTTGTTTTTTATCCGCCATCTCTATCTTTCTGTCGCTCGGCTCGCTAATGTCCGTCCTGTGCACTGAACGCTCTCTCCTCCATATCATGAGTAGACACGCCCCTTACTGCTGATTGGCTACAAGTTTGTTTTGCTAGTCGGCCCGAATCAGTTTTCTAAAGCATTTTTGAAAAATCGCTTACCCCACCTTTAAATAAATGCAGCCTTGGTGAGCATAAGATATTTTAAGATTTAAAAAAATCCCCCAGACTTTTGCACAGTAGTGTATATGTTTTCTTTTGGCATTACCTTGCCAAAATTACATTTACTATTAATTTATTTTTGTACCATGATATCTCCACAGTGCTTTTTTGTGTATGGGGGAGTCTTACAATCATAATCTTTCTATGACAAAAAAGCTCAGCTTCTTTCAGCATTTTGTTGCCAGTTCTCAGTCCTGCTGTTTCCTGAGGATGTTTGTGTTGATTCCTCCTCGTGAGTGGGAGTGTGATGCCTTAAGTGAAAATGAAACATCCGTCTAGTTTTTCCTATTTTATTCTCCAACACACACCCAAGACACAGGATCAGTGCACACCTCTGAATCGCAGCTCAGCTCCTCAAATAAATCTGATACCTTCCGTTCATTAGTTTTCTGCTGAAAGTGTCCTAACTGTGAATTAGGCAGGGTGTGATAGACATCAATGCTGAACTTGTGTTATTTTTTTTCCTCGTGGTCTATACATAAAGACCATACATCAAACATCTGCATGGGTTTTGAGTTGTTCCTTGGTGTTTTCTCTGGGTGTTTTTCCAACCACAGGCAAAATTATATATATATATATATATAAAATATTAGCACACTAAACATTGAATATTTCATTCTATGTTTGGGTCATCATATAAAAAAAAAAAAAAATTAATAATGAATTTTTTTATATTTTATTATTTTAAAATCTGGGTCTTGGGCAAATGAAAATATAATACAAATCTATACAAAAAATGTGAAATGTAGCAAATAATGATAAGACCATTTTCATTTTGACATTCGTACAAAAAGAGAATGCAAAGTCTGTTAGTTAGTACCTCGGCTGTAGTTGAAGAAATGCCCATCTGTGAGTTTCTGTGGTTTGAAAGAAAGCCAGAGCTTTTCATCAGTGCGATGCTGTTTTGAAGATGATGTGTTTAATCATTGCATTTGGCCTCATTTTGTAAATTCATAAGTGCTATTTATAATTAATGTGCTCATTAAGCTTTTTATGCAACTTGTTCTGACTCTCTGGCTTGTTTAATACACTTCTGCTGTATGTTTGTGTTTATCAGTGGCTCTCGGTTCCTGCAGCCGGCTCAGGTGTGTGACCTGCTGAAAGGTTTAATAATGGTGCTCTGTTACTCCATGATGCACTACGTCGACTACGCCATGATGTACCACCTGATCCGTGGCCAGTCTGTCATCAAACTCTACATCATCTACAACATGCTGGAGGTATTGAACAGACCTCAAACCCATTTCAGTTCTGATAAATGAAAAGGACATTTTTTTTATTTATTTATTTTTACCCACTCTTGGTTTGTTTCAAATCTGTAGAAGAATGTTCATGCAGTGTTTACATATAGCATAAAGCAGCATACAGGTTTAGAACGACATTGAGATTTTAATTTTTGGGTGAACTAAATATCTGTGTCATTTCATCACTCAGGTGGCAGACCGTCTCTTTTCATCATTTGGACAAGACATTCTAGACGCTCTCTACTGGACGGCCACTGAGCCAAAGTCACGGAAAAGAGCCCATATTGGAGTCATTCCTCATTTCTTCATGGCCGTCTTCTATGTCTGTATCCTTGTTATTATACAAGAAGTCTGCAGTGCTCAGAATATATGATGTGTCATAATTTAGTGTTGTTATCATTACTCTTTATTTCCATATTGATGTTGGAGGTGTGGTGTAGTAGTTCATTTTATTGTGTGCACACAATACAATAATACATCAATGATAAAATAGTTCAATATAATTGTTTTCCTCAGTGTATATTTGTCACAGTTCTGCATGCCATCCTCATCATGGTCCAGGCCTCTACACTAAATGTGGCCTTCAACTCGCATAACAAATCTCTGCTCACCATTATGATGTCGAACAATGTGAGTATTTTCACATACACAACCATTTTATGTGCAAACAACAGAATCGCCAAAATCAGAATCATCCAGTTCAGCAGCTATTGTTTCACTATATTTAAAATTGTGTAAAGAGGGTTTTTATAGGCATGTGTGTGTTCACGTTTCAGTTTGTGGAAATCAAGGGAAGTGTGTTCAAGAAGTTTGAGAAGAACAACCTCTTTCAGATGTCCAACAGTGGTGAGTCAAAGTCCAAAACTGTTGAATGGTAGTGTATGTCATGGTATATGTGATATGTTATTTAAGGTGCTGCAAAGTATACTATATTACTAACCAAGCAAAATCCCTCCAAAATAATGGTGGTTAATTCCCTTTTTGTTAGTACAACATGCTTTAAATGTGGATTAAACACTGTTCTACCTCACTTCTGGTTATTCAAAGTAACTAGTAGGGTGTACGTCATCTTAATCACTTTGAGACTCTTTGATTGCAAGGCAGGTGAAGTTGCAGTCTTGAACGTTGTGTGTGGGCTGACTCAGAAACATTATAGCATCTTTTTGAAATGCTAATCAAAGCTCTCAAGAGCTTTCTGATAACGCTCTGTGAGAAACAGACTGACAGACCGTGGTGCCGTTTGAGTGCCTGTTTCCTACAGCGCCCATCCTCTTTATGAAAGTCACGCTGATATACTGTAATCAGCACCTATTCTCCCTTCTGCTGTTTACTCTCCCCACTTTCAAATGGCCATTAAGTCTTGTGATCGTCCATTCAAGCCTTTGTGAGGAAATAATTCCTCAAGTTACTATTCATACACAACCTGCTGGAAACAGTGCGTGCATCGTACACATTACCATCCTTTGAAGTCTTACAATCTGAGAGCTTTATTTGCTGACCGTCGTTTCCCCTCACGTTTTGCAGGGATTGGAGAGAGAGGGGCTTTGTGAATATAAAATGTGCAGACTTTGTGTTGCTCATGTGTTGGGTTTGTTTATATTTCTTTCATACAGATATCAAGGAGCGGTTCACCAATTCTGTATTGCTCCTCATCGTGTGCCTGAGGAACATGGAGCAGTTTTCCTGGAACTCAGGTCTGGATTAAGACTCAGAATCAGATTAAAACTCTTAATTGAAAATACAGGCATTTTTCAAGTGAAATCTAGTTCCTTTTTAGTCTAGTAGTTGGTTTATTGTAGCGCCAAAATCTAGCATCTTTATGAGGTAGATCCAATCAGATTCATAATGACCGTGGTACTTACCTGAAGAAATAGTTCACCCCAAAAAAAAAAAAAAGTGCTGAAAATTGACTCATCCAATATGTAGATGAGTTTGTTTCGTAATTAGAACAGAATGAGAGTCCATAACACCAATAATCCACAAGTTTCCCTGGAATTATTATAATGTTTTTATCAGCTGTTTGAACTCTCATTCTGACGGCACCCATTCACTGCAGAGGATCCATTGGTGAGCAAGTGATGCAATGCTAAATTTCTCCAAAACTGTTCTGATGAAGAAACAAATTCGCAAATTTTCAAAAAAGCAAATTTTCAACAATGCTTGGTTAATCTGTTAACTGTTGATATTGCTTGTAGATCACCTCTGGGTGCTGCTCCCTGACGTCCTCATAGTAATCATGTCTGAGGTTGCAGTCGACATCGTCAAGCACGCCTTCATCACTAAATTCAATGACATCACAGCCGATGTGAGAGCCACATATTTGTAATTGATTTTCAAAGATAATCCATCTCAAAAGTACACATTGAGGGTGCCAACAAAGTGCACTAACATAGCCCTAAATATAGGCGCCACATATGAACTTTGCCTTTCTATCATGTTCTTTAGGTCTACAGTGAATATAAAGCCAGCTTGGCCTTTGAACTAGTCAGCAGTCGACAACAGAATGCAAGTAAAAGTTTATTGTCTGAATTATTAATGTAATATGTAATCATTTTTAAATGCTTATTTTATCAAATCTAGCCCTAGTATCTATAACCAGCATAAAATGATAAAAAAAAAAAATTTTAATAAAAAGATATATATATATATATGAGGATATAAGAAGATATAATGTGGTTGATTCATGGACAGGCCTACACAGACTACAGCGATTCGGTGGCAAGAAGGATGGGCTTCATTCCTTTACCTCTAGCTGTACTGGTGAGAAGCTATTTTCACTTGTTTAACTACTCTGGTTATTATTGCACATAACTATAAGAATTTATTTGTAGGCTAACCAAAAAATACTCAGTGAAACAATATTTTAATTGCAAAATGACACATTAAACACCGTTATTTGACCCTCTAACTCTAGCACTTTCTATTCTAATTTAATTCTACTTATCTATATTTATCTTCTTTCTTCTTCTTCTTTTTTTTTTTAAACACTAGCTTTCTATTTTTTCTATTCTATCTACTTGTTTTTCTTTGTGTGTGTGTATATGTATGTGTGTATTATATATATATACACACACACACCTTGCTACGTGTACTGCGTTAGGCTAACCGAGACTTGTTTGTTGCACTTATATATTGTTGCTCTTTTGTTAGTTTTGACTGCTTTTATTGTCCTCATTTGTAAGTCGATTTGGATAAAAGCGTCTGCTAAATGACTAAATGTAAACAACAAATCATATATTAGAGGTATGATTCAAGACTGTAACGGATTGCATATGTGATACTGAGGATATGGTTTTGTTTCCTTCAGTTGATTCGAGTGGTGATGAGCTCAGTGAAGATCCAGGGCGCTCTCTCATCTGTCTGTCTGCTCCTCTTTTATCTTGGGTAAATGAGTTAGCTCAAAGTGTATGGTATCCCATACAGTAATGTGTACATTTGACTGCATGACTTAGTGTGCAACCCAGTCTCTACAGACCGAGAGTATTTGATATGTTTGTAATTGATTTGTTTTGTTTTCATACTGTGCAAATACACAATCTGTGAACATTCTGTGAGCAGTTTTGGCCATTAGTGTCATTTCAAATAGAAACTACATTTCTGTGGTGGATACACTGCTGTAGGTTTTAAATCATGGAGTGAAGAGATATGATTAAGTTGCAGGGAAAGGCTGCTTTTTTTTTTTTTAAATACATTACCATTCACAAGTTTGGGGTCAGTAATTTTGTAATAATTTTTTGTTCTGAGAAAATTATTACTTTTATTCAGCGAAGATGCATTGAATTGATCAAAAGTGACAGTAACGACTTGTATAGCATTTCAGAAGATTTCCGTTTCAAATAAATGCTAAATCCTGAAGAAAAAAGCGTATCATATTTCTACAAAAAAATTTAAGCAACTGTTCAAAAAACTGTTCAAAATTCATGATTATAAGAAATGTTTCGATAGCACCAAATCGTCATATTAGAATGATTTCTGAAGGGTCATGAGACACTGAGAATGTTTACATGCACACCAGTAAGCTGATAACTCACAAATATCAGCTTATTAAAATAACCAGTTTTCCCCGTTTACATGCACATCAGTAACCTGACAGTGCAAGTAAGCCGAGTTTACATGACTAATAAATCTGGTTATTTCCCTGTAGTGACGTCAAAATATAATCATTTGCGTATCTGACTCCGAGTATTCCATACATTTGTCAGTTGTGATGTTAAATTAAGCTTGCAACATGTCGGGAAACTTACAACTCATATATTATCCTCTCATGCAGTTATAAACGCAGCATTGTGACTGAACCACTTCTACTTCTGCTGCACGAGATGAGAACACATTTTTATCATTTTCTGAGTCATGAAAAAGTCTGCTTTTGTGATATATTTCCTTCTTTCTTTACTGCAAGACGTTTGCTCAGTCTAGATGCGCTTAAATCTGCACTGTTCCTGTCACGTATCACACATGCGCACTTCAATAAGCCACAGAAAGCGGGTTATTGCATTTACATGCCGTGCGAAATCGGAGTAAGAGGCAAAAAACTACCTGTTGCGACCAGTTTATGCTTACACCGTTTATGACCTTACTCCGATAAAAGAAAACGGGTTACCGCGTTTACATAACCAAGTGCATTTTCAGCTTATTAAGCGTAATCGGTTTAAGAACGTGCATGTAAACGCGCTCACTGAAGACTGAAGTAAAAGCTGAAAATTCAGCTTTGCCATCACCAGAAAAAATTATATTTGAAAATATAAAACCGATATTTTAAATTCCAATAACATTTCACAATATTTATCACAATAGTACTGTATTTTTTGACCAGATAAGTGCAGCCTTGGTGAACATATGACTTGTTTTAAAAACTTGCCAAACCAAAACTTTTAAATGGTAGTGTATATTAAGTAAAAAATGCTTAATGTAGTGTAATAGTATGATAGTACAGAGAGTAATAGTGTGATAGTAGAGTAGTTGGTAACATTTTGTGAGTAGCTTGCCCAACACAAGATTATGCAGTAGTAGTTGCAGCTTTTAATTTAAATGTTTTGATTGTTTGGTCTGATTCTGCAGATTGATAACAATGAAAGTGTTGAATAATATAGTTATTCTGGGCAAGTCCTGTCGCTATGTGAAGGAAGCTAACATGGAGGGTAAGCTGTTTGAAAGACCGACTGCTCAAACCTCAAAACAAACTCCCAAGAAAGCCAACCCCACCAAATCTCCCCCACCCTCAGGTAACACCACTTTTGGCTATTCAGTAGTTCAGACATTCTGTCAGTTTCTCAAACTCATGTTATTTTTTTTGTGTGTTTGTGTGTGTGCTGAGGAGAATTTTTGATTGTTTTTTTTTTTTCTTTGTTTCTTTACCTCTTTTTAGCTGAGCCTAAAGTGCAGCGACCCTCCACCTCTATCACCAAGCAGCCGAGCCCAAGAGCGAAGCCTTTTCCCCCGGCTCCACCTCCTGTAACTGAGGTGACCAGTGATCCGCCCCCAGATTCTCCTCCTAAACCAGAGGAGAGCAGTAGCGAGACACCACAGTCTACTGAACTTAAACACAGAGCCACCAAAAAAGATCTGTTGGAGATTGACCGCTTCACAATATGCGGCAACCGAATCGGGTGAACTTTAACCCCATCACCATAGTAACTGCTCAGGAACGAAAGTGGAGAAGGCTCTGAGTCTGACATAATTGACTTTCGAGTGAGTTCTTCAGAGGTTGCTACTATGTATCTCTAACTGGAAAATTACTCGATTTGCCGTCCTCACTTCTTCTATTCCTGTGGAATATCTGTCAAAGGAAGCAGATCTTGTGCGTAAAGCATTTTAAATCAAAACAAAGAGTCTCTTAGCCCTCGGCAGCCGGGCATATCAACAGGGCGTAGAATCTAGTGTTGCTTAGGATATGTTTGTCTCGATTTTAACAGAGACAGAACATCTTGAACAATAATTGAGGCATGAACTTCTTACAAACTAGACCTTTCCCACTAGAAATTTGTCTTTGATTGTATACTAAAAAGCATATAATGTATTATTAGTTTTAAAACACTTACAAAAAAAACAATTGAGCAATTTACAACTGATTCATATAAACGAATAATGTTGTATATATTCACACACTTTTTACTAATATGCTAAACGAGTTTGCCAATAATGCTGCCATTAGACTTGATCAGTCTGGCAAATATTTGTTTTTAGAACTAGTAAAGGTATTATTTGTTTCAGTTGAAGTCTGTATTGTAACAGATACAGTTTTTTTAATTTTCTTCTTAAAAGTTTCTTTAAAACTCATGACCAGAAAGGGAAGGTTTGGCTGATCTAATGCCAGACTGCTTGATAATTCAGCTCTGTACAATATACATGGTGCCAATCCAGCTGATTTAACTTTGCACTGATTTACCACATTGTCTTAAGATGTACAGAATATTTTTGTTTTAAGTGTGATATTGGCATATTTACACCAGCTATGAAAGCAAATAACCGTTTCATATGAAATGTAACAAAATGAGTTACTTTTTTTTTAATGCACATTGTTAGTGTATTTTGAAATTCAAATAATCTGTGACCAATCCTATACTGAGACTATTGTTTGATATAATTAATATTTTGTTGTTTTAAATGTAATTAAATTATTATCCAGTAATTAATAGTTCAATATCATGTTGATACTGTTTTATAATGTTGATTGGAAGTTGATTGCAGTGAGGAAAGTTGAATGTCAATCTAAGTCTGTTCAGCCTATGTCTAGAATTTACCTCCAGTACAGAGTATGAGGTGTAAAGGTACCAAATGCCAAGGGACTTGAAAAAATGGATATTCCATCATTCTCTTTTGACTGAAATGTTTTTTGAGAATACCTTAATTAGAAGTGTTCCTGCCATGTTTTGAAATATGCATAGTTTGCATTTCAGTTTTTTATTTTATTATCATTGTAAAAATCTAATGACTATTTTTGGAGAGATTCTGAACAGGGTTGCACAGGTTGTTGTCCTCACGGTGTGTTCTCCTTTTTTGTTTTTAAAATATACCATAATGTTACAAGTAGGTTCATACGTAAATGTTGAAGACTAAACCATTTGTTTTTATGTAATGCCATCCCTGTTTTGGGTACAGCAAATAAAAGTTGTTTTGTAATTTGTGCCATGTTTTATATGAATTTATACAGAAAGTTGTATGTTTTTGGTGATGTTGACTGGTATCATATTGTACGTATTTTACGGTTTTTATTCACCTTTTAGTTTTATCAGTCAGAATGCATTCTCCGTGGTATGATCTGGTTTTAAACTGCGCCCACATATCTGACATCCTGAGACCGTAATATCTGCCACTTTGTGACCTTTTCTCCTACAGAATTCACAGACAGCTAGTGAATCTGCCCTCAGCCGCCTCCATTTCCATGTGTATGAGGTAATGTTTACCCTTCCCTACACCCACCACAAACCTCCCTGTCCTTCTCCATCAAGACCTCCGGATACCAGGTACCAACTTGATGCTAAGACATGCAGTAAACACGGAGGAGGTAGAGCAGTAGGTTGTTTTCTAAGGCAACTGTATGGCCATTTAGAATAAAGAAATCCTCTTGAAATTTTACTCTTGGGAAAAATTGCAAGAGTAGATATATTTAATTGTGTTTTATCTTGATGTATTTGTTGAGAGTATTTTGCAGGACTAACCAGTGTGGTTGCCCTCCATGGTAATCTGATTGTACTGCTTGCCATGTCAGAAAATAATCATTTCTTGTCCAAACAGACCGTCAGGGTTTTGACACCGTTGGATTTTGTCTTTGTTCAGCAATGTCTGACACACAGAACATTCTGCAGCCATTGCATTCTTCACAGAGTCCTTTAATCCACAGCTAGGATGAGAATGTAATCAAGTGAATTCCTGCTCTGATATCATGTACACACAACATTCTGAACCTCCCTCACATTCTTAATGAATTATGCAGTTGTTTCTCAGAATATAGTGAAGGAATAACGCCTGGTTTTAAATGAAATGACCATATTATAATAAGCATATATTTGAGATGTGCATATGAAATACACAAAGTACTTTCTTGTTTGTTTTAATGCATTTCATGGCTTAATCAGAGAAAAATGAGTCATGTTGTAAGAGATGTCAGCCCACTCAGTGGGTCAACTTATTTGGCTAACACATGAAATGCTGAACAAGTATATAAAATCTAAAAGTTTGAAATGAAAATCCTGTTACTTATATAACAGCAGCTCCCACATATTCTCCCCTGCAGCACCTTATGACTCTGAGACTGTTTTCATCAATATTCCCATAAATAAAAAAATCAGATTGGGGCTTGAACAATATTTTCATCAACCCTCTCATTTCCCTTTGATTTTAGAGGTAGCTAATAATTTACATTAGGACTGTGTTTGTTTGACAGGAACAAAGAAAGACACTGATCCAGAATGATGTTCTACTCGGCCTCCAACATTATTATGGATGTTTGTCTGTCAATGATGTTCCATTTGTTCCATCCACCAGTACACCTCTGGGTCTATGGGATTTTATAAGTACTGTTTGTATTTTATAAGAAAAGATCACCAAAAAAAAAAACTTACAGAATTTACCATGACAACCAGTTTCCACCAAAATACTGTATCTTAATGAGTGTTAATGCTCAGTGAGTGAAAATGATGCAGAAGTACAATCAAAGTATCTAAAGTAACTTCAGGATGTTTCCTATCATTTTATATTATCAGAATGTATCTATGACAAAGGGTTCTAAAAATATGGCTTCTTATTAAAAAAAAGTGTTCCTGTGGCTCACTTTGCCCCAGGGTGGGGGTAAGTTGACCCGAGTCAATGAGTAAGATGAACCGTCTGGTTGTAAACTGACCATCTGACTGAATCTGGTTCAAACCCATGTTAAATTTGAAAGATAATTTACCTCTTTTAAAAACTAATTGAATAATCAAATTTCCTTTTTCAAACAGTCTTTTTTATTTTCTTAAAGCTAATGTAAACAACATAAAACCAACCAAATGAAAAGTTCAATCTTTAATTGTTTGCATTTCTGAAACGATATGTTTAACACCAAAGTTGTAATCTTCCCAAAAACAGACTAAACGGAGAGTTTGTTGAGTAAAATTAAAATAAAAAGCTGAATTAGAATGAAGGAATAAATGTCACTGAAACTAATGAACAATTTAGTCAAAAGATTCTTGGCATGGTAGCTTTTCTGCAATGTCGAACAGGCCATTAGGGACTACAGGTGGAAAGCTATATCTGATTATAATGTGATGAAAAGCATCTTCTGGTTCTTATCAGATATGGATTTGGTGCACTTGTACACTGTCCCTATCAAATAAACTACAAATAATAATATGTATATATGATAAACTAAATCAGTTGTGTACTATCACATTAAACTACCAGTTTATACTTCAGAGATTTAACTTAACTTCAGTGCCTTATGGTAGGGTAAGATAAAATGCTGGCTCAATTTACCCCACAGCATTTGGCTCACTTTGCCCCATAGCTGCCATTTTGGAAAAAAACTAGCTTGCTTACTAATTCAGGCTAATATTTAGCTAAATGATTTACATGGTTTTATACATTGCTAAATCACTTATATGCATCATAAATATTTTTAGACCTGGATAAATTTACTTTGATGTAACAGCCATTACATATGTTATGCTAAAAAAATATTTTTTTTAACGTTTTTAAAGTAATTGGGTGCCTTCCACTCCTCCCGTGTGTTTCTTCTTTTCACAGTCTGGCAGAAATTATGGGTGGTTTCAAAATATATGGTCACATGACAAAAAAAAAAAGTGTACAGTTGGCAAGATACAGGGGGTGGGTCAACTTACCCACTGGCTCATCTTACCCCACTCTCCCCTAGGCCTATTTAATGACTACCCTCAGTTTTATCTTGACAAATATTACACTTTTGAACTAAAAATGAATCATTACGGACAAAAGGTGTTTAAAATCAGTCACATTTTCACCAATCTTCAAAATCAGTGTCTGAAAGTAGTAAAGTGTATGATTGAAAACAGCTTATAAATCATCGCGTCTCATCTGCTCTGTCTTGAGCACCCGACAGGCGGGAGCACCGAGCTCCGGAGAGAAGACCGTTAACACGCGGGGAGGGGGTGCGCGCGCGCAGAGAGCCTGTGTAGTCACCTACACTTCACTGGTTCAGCCGTGTTTTTGTCGCGGGGCATCTGACTGACCGGCCGACCGACCGAGAGGCGCACCATGAACCTGCTGGAGCCGCTCGCCGCGGGGAGACCATGCTCATCATGAGTCGCTCGCCGGGCAGCAGGACTTGACACCTGCGGTTTATCTGAAATCGCCGAAATTGTCCCTCATAGTACAACCCAGAATTTCCTCCACTTCTGTCACCTGGAATTGCTTAAACACTAGAACTAATCATGCTGTGGAAAACGGGACTGATTTTTCTGTGCTGGGGCTTGACGTCCGGGGAACTCCAGGACAGGCAGTCCGGTGCTACTCCAGCGCAGAGAACTTTGGATTTCGGCTTCGTCCCCTCCGGAGTTTACGATACCGTCGCCTATTACGAGCCTGGGGCCATTGGGATTTTATTTAACATGATGCACGCTTTCCTTTATGTGGTTCAGCCCAACCCGTTTCCTGAAGGTGAGCTCAGTCTTATGTTCTTGAACTTCTAAGCAAATTTCATATTTCTCTACTCTTGATTATTAATTTGAATCAGATTATTTTATATACCCTAATGCTTGCCATTTCTTCAACTGCATCTACCATATCATGAGCAGGTAGATGCTTCAGGTGTGAGAGGTGCCACCTGTGATGTCTCAGTGGTGGGTTAGAAGGTGTGAGGGGTTGAATAAGGTTGGTCTGTTGTATTCTCCACCTGAGATTAAGATTGTGATCCTGTGAGTCACTGTCCTAATGAGCTAAAACGCTAATCTGGAATGCCATATGTTGCTCTTCTTGTATTTTCCAGCCTGCCACAGGTGGATATAACCCGGTTCCTGGAGGAATCCCAATCGTACACACCCATTTCAGATTGTGGAGAACTTCACTAAAGAGCTGATGAGTTGCATCAGGTGTTTGATTAGGTAGACATCCAAAAATGTGTACTATTGGTGGTCCTC